TCCGGCAGGAGATCAGGCCCTAGGGACCCAGGGATCTCGTCCTCTGGACGTGGCACGATGAGATGGAGTGAGCTTCTCATGCTGCCCACTGGGACACAGAGTGACGTCTGACCTCTGAGCCACAGGGAGGGGTCCAGGGATGCTGCAGAGTCCCTTCCCAGAGGCAGGTTGAGGGGAACCGGGGAGATCTGCACCTGCTTCCTGTGTCTCTCCAACCCTTTCTCCTTTCATGTCCCCCACACTCAGCAGTATGGGGTGTCCTCTCTGGAGGTCCTCTGAGTGCTCAGCGCTCCTTCTGCTTCCCGAGCACGTGCCCACCCAGCAGTGGATCTCTGAGGATCTCTGTATGCCTTGCTCTTCTGGAATATGTAGCCCAGCCTCAGGCGGTGGAGCTGGCATAGAAATCTGCGGCTCTGGGGCACAGGCCCTGGCGATGCAGCACTGAGAACCTCCTTTCTGGACAACTCAGAGGCTCTGCGGGGCCCTTCTCAGTGGAGCACAACACAATGAGCAGGGCTCCTCTCAGGGGCACTGCAAAGACTGAGCTGGAGGCCAGTTAGGACCTGGAGCACACAGCGCTGCCTCTCAGCCGATTTACCCAGAGTCTCCTTTGTTAGAAGTACAGGGTCCCACCTCACCCCTGGCCTGTGCGGGCTCTAGGAAGTGGGATTTCTTCGAATTCCCTGTATTTGGGATGTGAGGCCCTCAGGGCATTGCCAGGTTATTAGGTCAGGTCTCTACCCTGTCTCAGCCTCGGCCCTTGATTCCACTGGGCCTGGCAAAGCCATGGCCTCTCTCATGGCCCTACCACTTTTCTCTGCAGGAGCCCTGGATGTGGGCAGCGCCAGGGCTGCCTGAACACCTAGTCACTTGTGGGCTGCTTCCCAGGGCACCAACACCAGCATCTCTCCAGCTACAGCCCTGGGTGGTGGCTGGTCAGACAGTGGGGGGCAGCATCCAAACAAGCCAAGTGTGGCCAGGAGGAGGGCAAGGGTGAGCTCAGGCCCTGATCTCGAGAGGCAGGCTCCTCCCCGAGACCCTTGCTTGCTGGTTGGGCTACCAGGTGAGCCTAGGGGTCTCAGCAGGGCTCAGAGGAGAAGAGGAAGGAGGCCTTGCCCCCCCTCCTCCCAGGTGGCCGTGGTCCAGTGCTTCCAGTGCAAACTCAACTCCCTATGAGCACTTTAAGTCACACAAGAGCTTCACATTTTATTTCATGGAACATGGCTGTTTGTTGAGTTAAGAGTGTTGGGCTGAGAGGAGGGTGGCCCTGACAGG